TATATATATATATATATATATATATATATATAAAGAGACAGACAGACAGGACTAGAGGTTCAGTCGTATTGATTATGCTTTATAAAGTAAAGGCAATTTTGATATAAGTAAACTCTTCATGCCACTTCTTCTACTACTAGCAGATCGCCAACTAAATTATTTGTTTTGGTTAATATTATCAAACCCATTCGAAAGAAAAAGTAAAATGACTTTATAATAAATCTTTCAAAAATATAAGTACAAGTTTATTATTAATAGATAAAGATTTATAATACACTCAGATACTGTTGTGTTCCCAGGTATTTTAAATCCTGCCTGTCTTTTTCTTTTCATCAGTCTGATACATTTTGACTTTACAAGGTTATTATTAATAGATAAAGATTTATAATACACTCAGATACTGCTGTGTTCCCAGGTATTTTAAATCCTGCCTGTCTTTTTCTTTTTATCAGTCTGATACATTTTGATTTTATTCCAGTGAAGAATTAAATAAAATAGTTCTTACCACTAGACGGCTTGTACACATCTTGGAACAAGTCAAAGATGTAGTTTTTCAGTTGACATTTGGTGTTGTGCTTTTCTTTGAGGAATAGTAGTTTTCCCCGAGTTGTCAAACCTGCTACAGTTGCAAAATACATGAAAATTATTGGCCATTTAATTAACGTGTGGAAAAGCGTCATAATTGTTACTTCTGGAATTTCTTTCTTTGCAATATAATTTCACTTATTTTTAAGAACTTTAAAAGAGGTTTCTTTTCAATTCTTCAAGATGATGACGAAAAACAGATGCCTTTCTTCGTCTGCAAAAAAAAAAAAATAAACTATTTTTAAAGTTACATAAAAACATTTCAAGTCATCCAAACGAAATGTATTTATGGATCAATTTTTAAATGGTAAATAGCAACTAATCTACCTGTTGCAATGAATCTGTTCTGATGGGGAAAATGGTAAATAGCAACTAATCTACCTATTGCAATGAATCTGTTCTGATGGGGAAAATCGATCTTTCCTGTGTCTAGATACACAATAACGTGGAAAGTAACACAATAAACCATTAAATAACAAGCTGTGCAATCAATACTTCTTTATACTTACATATCTTTTTAACGGACCAATCGCAACCAATTTAATGAGCATGCGCACAATTAACAGTTTTCACCCTCTAAGTATATGAAATCGTTCTGTAATTATGCTTCAATTAATGATTTAATAAAGATATCTTGTATTTTACGTTAAAATCAATTATCTTCTCTTGCTTAGTCCTATGTTGATAATTACGATCATTAATATATTGTATTATTGATGACATTATTACAGATGGGATTGCTCCCTTGGTATTTACTTCACAATCTTATTTAAAAAAGTAAAACGCGAAACACCAGTATTCAGCTTTCAAATATTAAAGTTTATTCCTCCATCTACCTATCCCTGATATATAATTGTTGCCAACTATAATCTTAGCCTCCATACACACATTCGACCACATAGAGGGATATTTACAATAATTAACAGCGATTATCCTCATCTAAAGGTTGCAATTTTTTCACTGAAATTTCATTATCTATAGCAGCGTTTTCCAAACTATGTTCCGTCCGAAGTTGATAGATGCTCCGTGAGAAAATCAGGATTTTAAATTTTAATACATAATTTAACACTTTTTGTACGATCATAACTTATTATGAAATATTTTCCTATCTATTAGAATTATATAATGATTTCGCATTGAAGAAGAATTATAGAAGATGCCATCTCTATTCTACATAATATCTTAGTGGAGAGGTTTGTACCTAAAATATATTCTAAACATAAAAATTTCAAAATTCATTAACATGTAATTTGA